ATTTTTAGTATTTGAATACGTTAAGGACATGTATACTAATAACCCAGGCTTCTCTAATATATATGGATCATGCGACAAAGGTGTTATAGATAGATTCTTTAGGCATGATGGATATTTATTTCAAAAGAATAAGTATGTGAAGCACATAGTGGAGGTTTAATAGGTCACTTTGATGTTAATAAGACCTTGAATATGTTAAGTGAACACTTTTATTGGCCTAAGATGAAGGTTGACGTTGATCGGGTTTTTAGTAGATATATCACTTATAAAAAGGCTAAGTCTAAGGTTTTGCCTTAAGGCTTGTCTACACCATTACCGTCCATAGTGAGCCCTAGGTTGATGTATCTATGCACATTGTGTTGGTCTACCTAGGACTAAGAATAGAAAATATTCCATTTTTGTCACCCACAAATGGATGGACAAATTGAGGCCGTTAATGACACAAGAATTGTAAGGATTGTTTGAAATTCATAGAATTTTCTTATAATAGGGCCATGCATTCTACAATTTCTTATACTCCATTTGAAATTGTTTATCATTTTTAATCCACTAACACATTTTGTTTTAATTCATTTTCTTGATGATGAGAGAGGATGCTTGGATTTTTTAGGTGAGTATAATATTTATGCTACTTTCAATGTTTTTTTTATCTTTCCTTGTTTTATGTAGGTTGAGATTTAAGGGCGAATCCTTTTGAAGAGGGAGAGAGTGATGAGATCCATGGTATGAAATATATAAAGGACTAGGATCTGTTGATTATGAAGAAAGGATCGATGACTAGGTCATGAGAAAAGAAGGTCAAAGAAGCCATGTGATTACTTGTTCAAACTACTATGAATGAAACATTGATCACAATAAGCAAAAGAAAAAGTTTCATGTTGGGCATGTAAGGAGAAACAAGAAAGATCAACTTAGTTCAAGCAGCGAAGTAGGCAACTAAGGTAAAGAACTATAAGACTGCATAATTTCTATGCATGCGGCTGCAAAGATACATTCCGAGAGAAAAAAAATTGTTGATTGGCCTATCCAATTACATAGAGCAATCTGGGACGTGAATTTTCAAATTTTGTGCAGTTTCCTATTTTAGTTAAAACTCCATTTTATGCTATCATTTTGGTATTTTTAGAAATTAATTCTATTTAATTAGGGTTTATGAGTTACCTATGAATAGGACTCATTCTTTTCATTGTAAAAACACACATTTTGAAAGATATTATTGTGAGGCACATTTGATTCCTACTCTTTCTTCATTGAATTAATTTTCAAAGTTATCAAGGATTCATTTCTTGTGGCATTCAACAATTCAAGTAAGGTTCGTAAGTTTTGTGATCACGGGGTAAAGATAATGTTTGCGTTTGTCATGGTTCTTTGGTTCAATAATTTATTGAGTCGAGCTTTTCCAAACGTTGATTTTTGGCTTTCTTAGGTTTGATCTAATCTGTCCTGGATTTCATAAGTTCAATTCCTACTGGTTCATTATTGGTGATCAAAGTAGAGGATAAAAATATAGAGCTGTTAGGAAAAGGAGGGGCTTCCTCTACCCCATAAAAGGAGTGGCCAAAGAAGACTTGAATGATCCTGATCTTTGCTCAAATTCTCAAGTGTTATTACTTTACGTATATAAGCCGAGGGAATAAAGGAATACTGTTTTTTTATTTGGAACAGATGCACTTACCTTGCGTATCCAGTGAAGAGTAGACTAGTGTATAAGATAGGGACGTTAGGTGAGCCTTCTTTTTCATAAGGGTGATTCACTGAGCCTTAACCTGATTGATTGACCAGGCTTTCATCACACCCCTGCAAACAAGGGTAATGGTTCCACTTGTCACCCATGTCGCGTAATCGTAGAGATTTTTCGGTGGTTTACATGTTGAATGGTCAGAATCAGCTAATTTTTAGCCGTATCTGAACCAAGTGTAAGCTAGATTTTCTAGTGGATATTTTTGCCAAGGTTTACACAATAGTTTTTGATCCATGTGAAGAGTTCTTCAAAGAGTTTTTGTCTGTCATCAATTTATGGTATTATTTACTTTTGATTGATACATTTGTGATTGTTTACTTAGGGTTTAAATTGTATTTAAAATTAATCATCTAAAAACAATAATTAGTGAATTGTTAGTTTTTATTTGTTAATTCTACATATTTGGGTCTAAACAAAGTGATATATATTACCAACAAAGGTATTAGAGCTTAATCCCGATTTTTAACCCAATTTGTCTAGGTGAATCAATAATTTTACGTTCTTCCATTTTTTTATGGTAGTAATTACGCATATCAGAAGGTTAGAATGAGAGCCTTTTTTTAAGTCCGTGGATGAATGAGTTTGGTTTAGTGTACAAAAAGGTTGGACTGCCCTAGCTACATATGTTACGTGTACAGATAGGTCTAAGAATGATTTAGATAATTGTAACTGAAATAGTAGAGGGATACATGCCAAGTTTATGGCCATTTCACCTAAGGAGTTAAAATGAGTGTCCATATGTGAGACTACGAAGGATGTTTGGGAGATATTAGAAACCACACATAAAGGAACCAAGACCATTAAAAACTCCAAATTACAGATGTTGAGCACTTTGTTTGAAGAAATTATAATGACTAATTATAAATCTTTTGATGATCTCTGTTTAAATTATATGACATTGTCAACTTTAATTTCAACCTAAGTGAGCAAACACTCAAGGCAAAGATTGAGAAAAGTGATGAGATCCCAACCGGAAAAATTTAGAACTAAGCTTATTGCAATAGAAGAATGCAAGGACCTAGATTCAATTAAGATTGAAGAACTTGTAGGATCTCTCCAAACATATAAACTTAGCCTACCTCAGTCTAAGAAAAACAAGTCTTTAGACTTAAACACTATTAAGGTAAAGACTAGTAATGAGACTAATAACAAATAATAAAAAAAATCTTCTAAGAGATATAAGGGCGAATCTAATAAATTTAGAAAGGATGAAAGAGAGAATGGTGATGATAGAGATGTCTTGGAAAGGTTTATTAGGTATCATGAGTGCCAGGATTTTGGTCACACTAAATTTGAGTGCCCAGTTTATAAGAAAACCCTAGGTAAGACCATGAATGCTACTCTAACTGATGATAAATCTAGCTTTGGTAAACTCTGATTAGGAAGGGAATCATATTGCACTCACATTTGTAGTTAATGATGAGTCATGTGAGAACATAGAGTAATCTGACGGTTTGAATGAAGAATCAAGAGATGATTGGGATATACAAGAGGCCAATGACTAGCTATATATAGAGAGCTTAAGTTGAAAAAGGTTAATTGCTCTGCCTTTAAGAAATTTCATGAACTAGAGTTAGAAAATGATAGCTTAGAAGTGAAACATGAGGAGTCTAGTAATAGATTGAATAAGCTAAGTGTTAAGAAAGAGTTGAAATAATAACCTAAAATGGTTACTTGACATACCCCACCCCGTGTAATACTACTGGATCCGGACGTGACATGCGTCGATGATAGATACCAACTAAAAGTGAGACCCACCATCAAGGCTACTACAAGTACAATATATCACTTTTTATACATCATTTTTCTAATAGAACTAACAAACCTGTGATCAATTTTACACAAATCCCAAACTATAACACAACACAATAAAGATAAGCCGAAACCTCAACTTTTTCCAAGAAATAAAATGAAATATACATATGGATACAAAATACATAGTGAGCCCTATAACTATCTACAAGTGATGCAAAATCACATCTAGACATGAACATGCGTCCCAAAACACTGACTACATGCTCTATGAAATGAGTCATACTAACAAACTCTGTCGTGTGGCTCTAACTCCAAAATGAAGGCTCAACCCCAAAAGATACCCAGATACTCAACTGTTGCCTAATATGGAAAAACGTGAAAAAATATATGAGTTGATAGTTCAGTGAGCAAAGAAGTTCAAAATAAATATACCTTTTCATTTATACATTTTTATTGAAAATCAAATTCATATCATTTGATAATTCACAAACTACCATTATGTAATTATAGCCAAAAAGTGAAATATTCACATAAGATCATAAAATATCATCTTAAAATCATGATATGAACGTCAGCTGATGACATGCTATAATCTCATCACATCAAACGTGCTGAAAATTCCCCCAAAAATGTACCTTCTGACTAAAATATGTAATTCACCTCTTGGACTAAAAACTTTCACCACGAGCCTTTGGACCCCTCCGTGAATGAAAGTCGGTCTCAGAGATATCTCATAATCAATTCTAGAACATGGCCAAGGCCCCTTAGTGAACCATATGTACATGGTCGAGATCCCTTCATCCCCGTTCCAAGACCCCTCAACGTAGTATAAAACACGACCAAAGCCCCTCAGTGAATTAGAAGAAATATATAATCACGGGTACTTTTCTGGTCGATCTCAAAATCACATCTCATATTCCAATTCACAATGTACCGTATACAATCTTTGAAATCCCACATGTAACATAGGAAAAGATACTTCCTTAATAACCACATAATTCGAACATATAATTGCATAAAATTGCACATACTTTGACAACATACTTAATTTATAAATACTTTAAAAATATTTATATTTTTTCCACTCACAAAACTATGTACGCCAAAATCAACTCGGTAAGTTGTCCCGATACCCATATCGCCGCCTGAAATATGATATAATTTTTAAATCAATAATTAACTATTTTAAGAAATTTCATTAATTAAATAGGCAATACCCAAACTTAATTGTTTCACGTTTTTCTTCCTCCTTTTCCTTTTTTTTCCCTTTCTCTTTTCTCTCTTCTTCTTTCTCTCTGGTTTGTTTCCTTCAAGTGTGTAGTGTGTGTGTTTGTTTTTAAATTGGTTTTGGGTGGAATTGGATTGATATCAATCACATTCCACCGCCTCATGTCATTTTTTTTCTTTTTTCTTTTTTGTTTTGTTGAAGTTTGAATTTTTTTTTAACTTAATGAATTACAAAACTCACCCCCTTAAAAGAATTTCGTCCTCGAAATTCGATTGATCAAGTATGAAAAATTTCTGGATACTGAGAACACATTTGTTCTTCACTTTCCCATGTCGCTTCTTCTACGGCATGATTTATCCACAAAACTTTAACCAAGAGAATAGTCTTACTATGCAAGACCTGTTCATTTCTGTCCAATAATTGAATTGGTTCTTCTTCATATGTAAGATTTTCTTTTAGGTCTACTGGTTGTGATTTCAAAACGTGAGATGAATCTGGAATATACTTATGAAGCATGGAAACATGGAAGACATCATGAATTCTAGACAATTCTGTTGGTAAAACTAATAGATATGCAACTAGACTGATGCGTTCAACAATCTCATATAGGCTAATATACCTCGGACTCAATTTACCTCGTTTTCCAAATCTAGTAACACCTTTCCATGGCGACAATAGCATGAAAACTCTATCCCCAACATCAAATTCAAGGTTTATTCTGCGTCTATCTGCATAGTTCTTCTATTTATCTTGGACTATCTTTCACTTTTCTTTATTTTTCTTTACTTTCTCACCAGTAATCCAGACATATCCAGGACTCAATAACTTTCTTTCACCAACTTCATCCCAACATACTAGAGGTCTGTATTTTCTACCATATAGCGCTTCAAAATGAGCCATTTCTATACTCAAATGATAACTGTTACTATAAGAAAACTCCATCAAAGAAAGATGAGTATCCCAATTCCCTTTAAATTGTAGTAAACAAGCTCGTAACATGTCTTCCAAAGTCTGAATAGTTCTTTCTGATTAACCATCTGTTTGTGGATGAAAAGCTGTACTGAAATGAAGTTTAGTACCCATAGCTTTCTGCAAACTAGGCCAAAATTTAGAAGTGAAATGAGAATCTCTATATGAAACAATATATACTAGTGCCCCATGCAAACTGATTATCTCATCAACTATATTCTTGCTAATTTATCTAACGAGTAAGTGACTTTAATAGGAAAAAATCTAGCAGTCTTCGTTAACCTGTCTACAATGATCCATATGCCATCATGTCCACTCTAAATCCATGGAAGTCCAAATTGAAAATCCATAGTAATGTGTTCCCATTTCCACTCAGAAATGGGCAATGTTTGTAATAATCCTGCTATTTTCTGACCATCTGATTTCACTTGCTAGCAAATGAGGCATCTGGATACAAACTTAGCTATTTCTCTCTTCATTCCATGCCCCCAATAGTGTTCTTTGAGTACATAATACAGTTTTGTACTACCTAGATGCATCGCGTAAGCTGAACTATATGCCTCTTCCAGAATTTCTCCCTTCAATTTCGAATCATCTGGAACACATAATCTGTTTTCCATAACTAAAGCTCCATCATCTCGAATGGTATAATATGTATACTTACCTTTACTAAATTCTTCTTTCAATTTGCTCAACATTGGATCTTGAGTTTGAGTTTTTCTAACTGTATCAATCAAAGTAGGCCTCACATGGAAGTTGGCAAACAATGCTCCTACACTGGTAACTGATAATTGGGCATGAGAAGCTTTGAGCTCACCTAACAAAGATGAACATACTACATTAGTCTATGTCATAGGACTCGATATTTTTCGACTGAGAGTATCAGCAACTACATTAGCCTTCCCTGGATGATAATCAATCTTGCAATCATAATCTTTTATCAGCTCTAACCATCTTCTTTGGTTCAAGTTTAACTCTTTCTAATTGAAAATATATTTTAAGCTTTTATAATCTGTATATATCTGACATCTCTAGCCATATAAGTAATGTCTCCAAATTTTCAAGGCTAGGACAACTGCAGCTAGCTCTAAGTCATGTGTAGGATAACTCAGTTCATGTGTTCTTCTACTGTATGGAAACATACTCTATGACTTTCCCATTTTACATCAAAACACAACCAAGATCCTGACGTGAAGCATCACTATATATCACCAACTCTTTACAGAAAGATAGAAGGGAAAGAACCGGAGCTGACACTAATCGATTCTTCAATTTGAGGAAACTTCTTTCGCAATCTTCATTCCAAATAAATTTAGCATTCTTTCTAGTCAAATTAGTCAAAGGCAGAGCAATTTTACAAAATCCCTTTACAAAACGGTGGTAATAACCTGCTAAGCCAAGAAAATTTCGAATTTCTGTCACAGTAGTAGGCCTTTCCCATTTTACCACTACCTCAGTTTTCTGTGGGTTAACATAAATTCCTTTTGCTAATATGACATGTCCCAAAAATACAACTTTATCAAGCCAAAATTCACACTTATTGAATTTAGCATACAACTACTCATCACGTGGAGTCTGCAAGATGATTCTGAGATGCTCTATATGATCATCGAGATTATGAAAGTATACTAAAATATCATCGATGAATACAATCACAAATCCATTTAAATATGGGTGAAACACTCTATTCATCATATCCATAAATGTTGCTGGCGCGTTGGTCAACCCAAATGGCATCACAAGAAATTCAAAATGACCATATCTTGTCCTGAAAGCAGTTTTTGGCACATCAATGTCCCTGATTTTAAGTTGATGATATCCAGAACGTAAATCAATCTTTGAAAATACTGCAACACCGCGAAGCTGATCAAATAGATCATCAATACGTGGCAAAAGATATTTATTGCGAATTGTCACTTTGTTCAATTGTCTGTAATCTATGCACAGTCGCATGGTGCCATCTTTCTATTTCAAAAATAAAACTAGTGCTTTCCACGGAGATACAATAGGTCTGATGAAACCCTTGTCTACCAACTCTTGCAACTGAACCTTTAGCTCTTTCAATTCTGATGGTACCATTCTATATGATGCCAATAAAATATGTGCATTCCTAGAATCAGATCTATAGTGGACTCCATATCTTTATCCTGATGGTAAGCTGGAAATACATTCGGAAAGTCCTTGACCACTGGGATATCTTCAAGTTTTAGTTTGCTAACATCTGTATCAATCACATGAGTCAAATATGCATGGCACCCCTTGTTGAGTAATCTTCTAGTGTTAATAGCAGATATCACACAAGACGGTAAAATTCTGCACTATCCATTGAATATAATTTCAGGCTGTCCTGGTTGTCTAAACACAACCACCTTTCGAAAGCAATCAACTGAAGCTTGATTTATTGCTAGAAAGTCCATACCCAATATAACATTGAAATCGTGTATGTCAAGAGGTATTAAATTTACCTTCCGCTCGTTCTCCTTTGCCTTAATCCCACAATCTCGATATATATTGTTTGCTAATAGTGATTCTCCTACTGGTATATTCACTACCAAACAACTGCCTAAAAGTTCTAGCTTTTGATTCACATATAAAACAAATGCAAATGACATAAAAGAATGTGTAGATCCAGGATCAATCAAAATACGAGTATTTCTATCAAAAATAGACAACATACCCATGATAACATCTAGCTACTCCTCTACTGCCTGCTGAGTTATAGCAAAAACTTTGCCCTGGGTCCTCGATTGTCTTGCCTGCCTTTTGATTTTGTACCACTACCGCTTGCAATATTAGATTGGGCTACACTGTTTGCACATGCTCTATTAGCTCAATCATCTATCTGAGTCTGATTCTATCTTGTACTATTAGCACTCTGCTAAGGAAACATCTTTTGTACCATGCCACTCTCCTGTCTAGACAATTTCTTCTGATGTGTTCGCCTTGACAACAATGATAACAGACTCCGCTCCCTTTGAACTTTAAGCACATGTCGTGATGAGGGCTTCTACATAATTGACAATAAGGAAGTCTAGTACTAGTAGAACTCTCGCCCTGTCTCGGAGTAAATAATCTCTGGGAAGAACCCTGAGTATAAGTACGACTAGCCAATGTCTGCTATATAGTACTAGGACTGAATCTAGGGCCCTGACTTCCCCATGACCGAGATTTGAATTGACCTGATCTAGACACACCCGGTCGAAATCCTCTACTGTCCCTCTGAGGTAGTCTATAGTATGAAATCAAGCTCTAGGCAGATTCAAATTAAAGAAGAAGATGAATAGAAAACTGCATTCAATGTTCCTTTTGGTCAATACGAATGGAATGTTATGCCACTTGGTCTAAAAAATACTCCTTCTGAATTTCAAAAAATCATGAATGATATTTTCAATTCCTTTTCAAATTTTATTATCGTTTAAATTGATGAAGATCTTATATTTTCTGAAAGTATAGAACAATATTTTAAATATATCAGTACATTCATGCATGTAACCAAGAAAAATAGTTTAGCAGTCTTTGCTAAAAAGATTGTTTTATGTCAAATAAAAAGAAGATTTTTAGATCACAATATTCAAAATTTTTCAATTATTCCAATTCAGAGAAGTCTAGATTTTATTGAAAAATTTCCTGATGAAATCTTAAACAAACCTTCTTTTCAAAGATTTTTTGGTTGTGTTAATTATGTTGGCTACTTTATTAATGAGGTAAGGTTGATTTATGCTTTTTCAAAAGATTACAAAAGAACCCGGACCCATGGAGTAACGAGTACACATTAGTTGTTCAAAAAGTCAAAAAGGCTGTAAAAAATATTCCATGTTTATCAATTCTTCACCAAACTGCTTCAATTATTGTTGAAACCGATGCTTCTAATTTAGGCTTTGGTGGAGTGTTAAAGCAGATTCCAAAAGAGTCAAGTTAAGAACAGTTGGTTAGGTTCCAAAGTGGTGTATGGACTGGCCCTCAAAAGAATTCTTCAAATTTTTCAAAGCTTCACGTATTTCAAAATAAAATTTTTCCCAATGACAAGATTTTTTGTCTTGACTTAATCTCAAAGTACTATTTTTTCAAAGAAAATCAAACAATTTTGCAAAATTTATCTTATGAAAATTCTTTCAACAAATATTGTGATCAGAATTATGAATACAAAGAATTATTCAAATTCCTTTTCAGGATCATCTTCAAAATCCTTTGGAGAAAAAAATGTATCAAGAATTAGACCCCTCTCAATTAAAGAATCATATTCTTTGAATAAAGGTAAATTTTATTTTCAATCAGATTCCTTTTATGGAACTGAACCAAAGATCTATGAGTTTAAAACTCATAAAAAACTTTTCAAATTCCGAAAGGAAAATCTTGATGATATTCTTACGACTTATTACCAAAGAAGTAATAAGGATATTATAAGATGTCTAAAAATTACTATTGACATTTTTGACAGTAATAATAAAATAATCCAAAACTTTCAGAAAGATTTTCAGAAAAATGAAAGACTTATTCTTCAACATTCATCAAAAGAATTATCTTTTAGAAATCTATTCTTATTAAAAAGGAATAGAAGAGATCGTATGAAGAAAGTCTTACAACTTCTTGAAAATATTATCAATTGAGATCCTACTTGTGCTCAAACATTCAAAAATATTATTTTTAGAATATTTGATAACTTCTATTGCAATGTTTCAAGACCTATGAAAGTTATCATAAACTTCATTTTACCCTCAAAGGTATTTCAATCATTAATGTCATTAATGAAGAAATTCGTCACATGATTGAATGGGGATTTATTTTCTCAATATATATTGATTTAAAAATAGATATCTCACTTTTTAATAGCTCTCTTAAAAGAGTTATTAATCATCCTTTTGAATTCAAAGTCAAAATTTTCAAAATTGAATTCTCAGCCATTCTTTCTGAATGGATTGCTAAGAAGAAAA